CTCTCTGGTACTGCATCACCTAACTAATGTACAGACCACAGGCATGGAGTACACAGACAGAAGAGGCAGTCCCCACACTTCCAGCCCCCTTTCTGTTACCTCGCCATTCGGAAACCATCATGGTGTCTAGTAGTGTGGGAACAAAAAAGAATCCAGCTTAATGGGACTTAAAAAAAAAAAAAAAAAAAAAAAAAAACAGGGGGGCTGGAGAGATGGCTCAGCAGTTAAAAGCACTGGCTGCTCTAGTAGAGGACACAGGTACAGTTCCCAGCACCCAAATGGCAGCTAACAACCATACTTAACTCCAGTACCCTCTGCAGGCATCGCACAGCACAGGTGCACTTAAAAACATGTACGCAAAACACTCATACACATAAAACAAAAGTAAATAAAAAAATTAAAAAACAACAACAGTGGGGTTAGAGAGATGGCTCAGTGAGCTAGGTGGTTCACTGTCTGCTCTTACAGAGGACCCAGGCTTGGTTCCCAGCACCTACATGGCAGCTAACAACCATCCATAATTCCAGTTCCAGGGGATCCAACATCCTCTTCTGTTTTCCTTGGGCACTGCATGACACAAGTGCACTTACATACATGCAGGCAAAACACTAATACACATAAAATAAAAATAAAGAAAATCATAAAACTTTTAGAGTTCTAACATATGTTAATATATCCAGTCTTACTTATAACTAAAACTACATTTTCATATCATAGATTGCTAGTGCCATTGGTAAGCCAAGGAACACTAAAGGTCCTGAATTCTTGGGAAAAGTACAGATTGGCACTTTCATGAAGAGAAGCTGTCAAAATTACACATGTTTAGGGCCTGGAGAGATGGCTCAGTGGTTAAGAGCACTGGTTGCTCTTTCAGAGACCCTGAGTTCAGTTCCCAGCAACCACATGGCAGTTAACAACTGCTATGCCCTCTACTGACCTCTGTGGGCACTGCATGCATGTGGTACACTTACATACATGCAGGCAAAACATTCATACACATAAAATAAAAAAATATTTTAAAAAGTTTTAATTACACACACTTATCCATTTAACTAAATCATTTTATGTCTTGGCATGTAACCTAAAGAGTCCTGACCATGTATAAGATGACACGCAAACAGCACTATGCACTATAGCACATCTGTAATGGGGAGCTAACTAAATATAGGTTCATTTATACATTGGAGTACTACACAATAATAAAAAAGATAGTAATCCTTATGAAGCATCTTAAAATGGTCTCAAACAAGGCATGGTGGTGCATACCTGTAATCCCAGCACTCAGAAGGCAGAGGGAAGATAGTCATGAGGTGGACACCAGGCTGAGCTACAGAGTGAAAGACTTTCTCAAAAGTACCAAGATATACAATAAAATGATCTCAAAATACACGCCGTTAAACAATACTACCACCACAAAAGTCAAGCCCGTAGCATCAAATGAATGGCTCTGGAAGACACAGAGTGACGACCCATGAAGTTTGGGTGAGATACTGAGACAACAGACAGCAGAGCTGGGAAGAAACTTTCAAGAACAATCCAGAAGGATTCCTGAAGGGACCTGGATCCAGTTGTAAAACTTAGGGGAATTCTAGTTGCCTGGAGGAGATGAGGAGGGTAACCAAGTTTGGAAAGGTACTTTAATCTCCTTGGAGTGAACTTTTCAATGAGTGTGATTTTTGCATCTAAATGTGTGGGCTTCAGTGAGCCTGCCTGGAGGTGGTGGGATAACCCTCACCTACCTCCAAACTCTCCAGTGGCTGCTCTCCTGTACTGGCAAGAAGCCAGGGGTCACCCACTACTAAAATGGCAGCAATCCTTGCACTGAGACAGTGCCAACAGGATCGCCCAAAGGATCTGAGCAGCCCAAAGCCACAAACTGGAAGCTTATCCTCTCAACCCCATAAAATCAGGATCTTTCTGTGGTGTCCCCCATGCCTTCCCCTCCAGTCCCATAGCAAACATGCAGCTGAGGTAAGAGGTTCTGTTTCTCCTCTGTGCAAACACCCCACCTTATTTACCAATGCTCTCTGAAAGTGTCCTCCCTTGCTTGAGGTCAATCTGGGAAACTTCTCTGCAAGCATGAAACACCTGATTCTACTTAGACACGCAACACATATACACACAGAGACATACACACAGAAGATACAGACATACAGAGAGACACACAGACACACATACAGATACACACACACACACACACACACACATTCCTTCCCTATCTTTCTGTTCCATCTGCTTATCTTTATGACTATTTCTAACTGGCAATCCTTCAAGAACTATGACTCGTGTGTGTGTGTGTACCTGTGTATTTGTGTGTATATAGGTATAAGTGTGTGTGTGTGTGTGTGTACACTTGTGTACACCTCTTTTTTTAAAGACAGGGTTTCTCATTGAACCTGGAGTTCACCATTCAGCTAGGCTGGCTGGCCAGTGAGCCCCAAGGATCTGCCTATCTCTGCCTCTCGAGCACTGGGGTTAAGGCATGTGCCACCACATCCTGCTTTTTAAGTGGGTTCTGGGGAATTTGAACTCAGGTCCTCAGGCTTGTCCAGAAGGCACTTTACCAACTGAGCCATCTCCCCAGCCCTGAGACTCACTCTTATCAACGTGACAAATGCTGAGTTCCACTCTGGGCAGCTTCCATGAAAACCTCTGCTGCACCACCCAGCCTTTCCTACACTGCACTGTGATGTTTTACATGTGTTCTACAAGCTCTCCACCAGAGCCCACTCTTTTAAGCAGAGTTGTTCTGCATAATGCCCAACACTCAGTGGAAATTCTCGAAGTGAATGATGGGCAGAATTCATAGGTAAAAGTCATCAGCTGAACTCCAGTTCTTTGGAAACAAATAGTCTTTCTCAGCTTTCTTCCCTCACCCAAGTCTTTCTAACTTCCATCCAACATGGCAAGGCTGCTCTGGACAAATTTCCAGGCCTATGGACCTGAAACCATCTTGACCCAGACCACAGATATGACTGTGCTCCCCACTTCCATCCTATACAAAAACCCCACTGTACCCAGATGCTGGTAACAGATAATTGGGCCAAAACCAAGAGAATGACAAAACCTGAAAGGGCGCAGTGAATAGGTTCATCTGTTGACCCTGCTTGGACTCAGTGTAAATAAAGTTCACAGTAATTCAAATAGCTCAGGAGGACATGGGGTGAGTATTATACAATCTCCACAGACATCAAGTGCATCAACGTGTGACCATGCTCACAGAATCCAAAGAATACACATCATTCCCCTTAGAATGCGTGGATTCAAACTTCAATCTCCTCCTAACAGGCTATTCCTAGGGAAATAAAACTATTTTAGAGAAAAAATTGCACACAGAGCAACCATGTACATTTCTGATAATCTTCACTAAAGCTTCCACGTATTTCTTACTGAAACAATCAAATGAGCTCTCGGCACAAAGATTTGATATTGCTGTCCGATTAATGTAAGAATCGAAACTATAACGCAAAAATTTTGTTTAAAGCAGACATATCACTTCTTATTTGTCTCACTTGAAAAGAAGCTACGTTTCATTCCACAATCATTCTTCCCTCATTCTACCCAAGAACGTGTGCAGAAGCAATACTTCAACCAAAATCAGTTCTGAAGGGTCCTTTATGAATACACCTGATATAGAAGACCCCGATTAAATGGCCAACAACACTGCCATTCTGAGTAAACAAAGTCATCTCGGTAAGGTTGCACGATCTGCAAGGATTGCAGCCAAAAAATTAATTACTAGCATGACATGTGTCAAAACAGATTTTTAAAAGAATGGAACACAGTTGCAACCATGTGTTTTATTTCTCTGCATGCAAAACTGACACTCTCTGGAATGAAAATAAATTCATTTACTCAGCCCCTTTCAGAAAAAGTTTTAAATGCTGATTACTGCTCTCTCCATGCTTTCCTATACCCTAGTGAAAGCCAAGTAACACAGAAAATGACGGCCAAATGAAGATGGCCTCTGAGAGACAGGCAATAGCCTAAGACAAGTAACTAACCCTGAAACACTCAGTTTGCCACCAAAGAAGCTGCCCAGAGCCCACACGAGCTAGACTTTACTGCAAGTTGCTACCTTGTGAAAACCAGTGTTTGGTGACATGTCACACAGTGCTGGTGCATCCTGGGGAAGACTGCAGGTTGCAGCAGCCAAGGGCAAGAGGATGGAGGTCAAAGCCTTTCGATATTCTGCCAGCTTTGACAGTGTCTAATTAGAAATATCTTTACAAATTAAAATGTTTTAGTAGCCCAGGAATTCCTAAGAAAACAGAAATTGTAGAGGAGATATTGACAAGGTCTCACATCTTCAATAGAAAGTTATGTACCAGACCTAGGACTTTTCTTACATTTCACACTATGGAAAAATAGAAACCACCTTCCCTATGGGAGGCAAAGATTAAAACATACCTTCTGCAACACCTATAAAATCATTACTGGTGGTCAACTGTTGCTTTATCACTCCCTGCTCTCCACACCCCCCAAAAAACAAACACTAGTGTGTTCAAGTTAGACGACACAGGAAGACAGAATGGCTTGTCCTGGGCACAGTGCACCTCAAAGTCGCCAGCACTGCCAGGTCTCCACCCAGAATGAACTCCGCAGCCCTCACACTTTCTTACCAGGGAGGCAAGAGCTACCTTCTCAAGGGAGGCTTCTGGACAGCATGTCTTCTAGAGTGCTCTTATCATAATTTTCCTAATTCTCCTTCCTGCAGTAAGGAGCTTGGCATCTCACACCGACACCCTTAGCCACCAGGGCTGACAGTGACACTCCACCATGTCTTCTGACCAGTGGCACAGCCCTTCTGCAAACCCCCACAACTGTTCTTTCAGATGGAAGAAGCAAGGTAAGACTGAACAGTGTTCCTGGGTGATCACAATCTCCTTTTGATTTCTTAAAACAGTTTCTCCAAATATACTCGTGATTGTTAAGAAATATGTTTACTGATCAAAGTTCACATTCTTTTGCATTTCCACAGAAGAAATCAAGTAAGTTACCTCTCTTAAGACTGTGCTTTTATATCCCCGGTACAATCCTTGGATACCCTGAAACAAACAAAAAGTCAAGAAATCAGAAAGTTGGAACAGCAAAGATTGGTGAATAGTATTCTGAAAAAAAGACTTACCTGCTCAAAAAGTTTAGTTCTAAGGCATTCGCCCTCACTAGTTTTGGTTTTTATAGTTGTGAGTCTAATGGCTGTGCCATCTCTCCAGCCCACACTCCACAGTTTTGTAAGAGTTAAAAGAGTCCAAACTGAGCCAGGCAACGCACGCCTTTAATGGCAGCACTTGGGAGGCACAGGCTAGCGGATCTCTGAGCACAAGGCCATTCTACACAGTGAGTTCTAGGCCAACCAGGGCTTTAAAAAAAAAAAAAGATTCCAAATTGACTTCAGTTAGACAAAGATCAGATTAGCTCCCTTTAAACAATGGGACATCTCTAAGAACAAAGCAAATAAAACAGGTTGCACAGTACTTAGCAAACAGTATGTCTTCTTTTGAAAATAAATTCACATTGCATACATTCCAAAAGCAAATATATCATTATCCTTCAATGTAAAAAGAGAACCTAGTTCATGGCTTTATCAGCAATTTGTTAATTTCTCAATAAAACAGTGGTATATATTACCAGATAAGCCTAGTTTTACAGACTTGAATATTTATATAATTTAATGAGCAGCCTCTAGGCCTGCCTAATTCTTGTAATTATATAGTCAGTGTTTCTTTACCCAGGTAAGAGATCAGTAAGGATAATTTTCTGCAGAGTGTGGTGGCACACACCTGTAATCCCAACACTCAGAGGATGAGAGAAGACTGCAAGTCCAATGCCAGCCTGGGCTACATAGCAAGCCCGGATTTCCAAGACAAAAACAAAGACGTTCTTAAACCTAAACTCATTAAGATAGACTCACCTTGCAGAAAAAAGCCTGTAGCCCCAGCTACTCAAGTAGCTGAGGCAGGAAGACTAAGGAACCCTAGGAAGCCAAGGCCAACCAGGGGCAGCACAGCAAGACTGTGACTCACATATCAAAGCAGAAAAAAACAAAACAAAATACTAAATCAAAGGCTTCTGTTAAATTTAAAGAGGAAAACAGCAGTATGCTTACTAATCCCATGTCTAGGAAGAAAAGCTTCTGACCACCTCTAACACTAATCAGAGAAGGAGAAAGGACATTTAAGTATTAACATTATGATACTGGGAATGATTATCAGCCTATTATATTTTTACATTAAGTATTATGCTTCTCTCCCATGGGCCCTCAAGTTCTATAGAATGTTCTTTGAGTATGTTAATTCACTTCACATAACCATGGTTTGTTCTGTCTGATTCTGACATATCTGCAAGCAGGTCACATTTAGAAAAGATACAGCAGGGATACTCAATACATGTTTGTTTCAAATTTTGAAAATAAATGAAATTAAGAATTCAAAAACAAAAGCAAAGACAATCCCAGCAAGGAAGTTACAAGTGGACGCTCAACTGAGTCATCTCTAATATTTCTTCTGAGGTGCTGAGATGAGCCTCACAGTGTTCTTATTAACACAAAATCTTCCTCAACAAAGAAAATACTCTAAAAGCAATCTTACCTCTTCACATAAAATAGTAGAAAAAATCTGAAATGTTCTTGAAGAAGCCGATACCTGTGCCCTCTGCTTAACAACTTCCGAAGGAACTCGAATCAGGCAAGCGACCTAAAATACAGAAATTCAATTACATCTCGAAAAGGAAGTAACTGGTATAAAATTGACCTTTTTTTTTTTCCACAAGCAACACTTATAATAAAAATATCATCATATAGAAGTTTAATGCAAGATGTCAAAAGGCCTTTTATTAACCTAAAGCTCTTGGATCTTCAGGATGCACACAGTCATCAGAGCCCTTAAATAGAACCTCTCACCTTCTGACAGATCGTTCCACACAGAGGTGTGTTGTATGTCACTCAGTGGCAGGAAGCACATTTGATCTTCCTTAATCCCCAGCACTTAGAACCTCACGGTCACATACCCTGTTTGGTCAAAGAATAAACCAGAACCACCTTTGCTTGCCTAAAGGTAATACATCAGGAGAGGCAAGGCTGATAAGCTGGCACTCTAACCCCATCCCACCCTGGCCTCTACCAAATCACATGCAAGCTCAGCTTGTAGGCCTCCCTAGCACACTGAGGAGGGACTCTGCTCACACCGGGACCCAGCCCAGTACCAGCACTGCAATCAACACTGATCCTGACTGGCCACACTCAGACCAAGCCCAGTCAACATTTAATTCTTACATTGCCTTCAGTGACATGAAGAGCCAAATTTATAGTTCCAGGGTTCTATACTGTAAAGGCCACCTACCTAATTTCAGAAACAGAAGACTGTTCAAACCAAAAGACTGTTCAAACCCAAAGGTATCACAGAAGGCAGGGGTAGGGAAGGGTATGCAGGTACAGGGAGGGAGACAAACTGATTGTCCAAACTGTTTTAATGGAAGGCCTGTATTTAAGTCTCTACACAGCAGTCTGCCAGATACATACTTTCTGCATCTTATATTAGTGTCCAATGTTTTACATATGATTGAAGACACTAAATTTCAACTCTGAGAATATGAACATATATTCATACTTAAGGCATGGTAAAAAATGCAAACAATCTTTCTTTGATAAGACATGTAGCCAGGCCTGGTGGCACAGGTCTGTAATCCCAGCTTCTGAGAAGGCAGGGGAAAGAGGATCCAAGTTCTAGGCCTGCCCAGCTTACAGAGCGAGTTCAATGCCTGCCTAGGCAACTTAGTAAGACCCTGCGTCAAATAAAACGTAAAAGAGGGCTGGGGATAGAGCCCAGTTGTCCAGCACTTGCTTGTATGAGGCCCTGGGTTCAATCCCCAATACCACAAAAATAACACACATAGCAAAATGGAAAGAGCTGGTCTCACTATATAGCCCAGGCTAGCTTTCAATTCATAAATCTCCTACCTTGACCTCCCAAATGCTAGGTTTATAGGCATGCTTATACCAACATACCTGACTGAAGCTGGTCTTTTCTTTAAAAAAAAAAATTATATATATACATATATAATATATATTTATATATTTTTATATATTTATTTATATTATATATATATGGGGGGGGTTGAGACAGGGTCTTCCTGTAGCCCCAGCTGTCCCGGAACTATGTAGACCAGGCTGGCCTTGAACTCAGAGAGACCCGCCTGCCTCTGCCTCCCAAGTGCTGGGATTAAAGGGTGTGCCACCATGCCCAGCACTTCTTTAAATATATTTTCATAATTCTTTGAGAACCTCACGTGCATATAATTTGAGAATTTCATATGTGTATATAATAAAATATATTTACCCCCCCTTCCCCCCTCCAACTTCCCCCATGTTTCCCCTAGTCTACCTCCCTCTCCTAACCTCATAATTTTTTTTATAATCTACAAAGTCCAGTTGGTGCTGCCCATGCACTTAAGGGTGTGGGGCCATCCACTGGAGCACGGGAAACCTATCAGTAGCCACATCCTCAAAAAGGAATGATTCTTCCTGCCTCCCCTGGCAACTATCCACTGCCAATAGCAGCTCCTCAGTAAAGGTGGGGACTGCAAACTATCTACCCCATTTGTGCTGGAATTTGGGCTGCCTTGATCTCAAACAATGTATTTTGATCATATTCACCAATGCCTCCCAACTTCTTTTATTCATTTATTATTTATTTATTGTGGCACTGCCAATAGTTAAACCTGAATAAAACAGCTTAACTTCAAAACAGACTCTTAATTTCAGTTTTTAAAAGTGGGCCCGAACTCAGAGGGCACCCGTTCCCCTAGATGTCTCCTGGAATCGTGCTGCATGTCAGACCTCACCCATAATTTTATTCACTACCATTTCTCCAGCTTCAATTGGGGAACCACAAGCTTGAATCCACCCTCATCAGACAACCTTGCCCTTTCTTCCCTAGGCCCAAAACATCTCATACACACAATGTCAAGCATTCTCCTCAATCTTTATTGTTTTCAATGAAGATGTGCTGCCTTTCAATGTTTTGATATGTTAATTCTCAAGCATACCCACATTCATTCACAATCTTTGAGTGGAGCAGCAAATTGAGGTCAAGTAAGTCCAGCTCATAAGAGCACCATGGTTCAGTCAATTTGTTAAAAGTCATTTGTTCAGATTCTGTCCATTTAGAAGTCATTACTACAAGTCGGGCATGGTGGTACACACCTTTAATTCTAGCATTCAGGGAGCAGAGGCAGGTGAATCTCTGTGAGATCGAGGCCAGCCTGGTCTACATAGTGAATTCCAGGCCAGTTGGGGCTACAGAGAGAGACCCTGTCTCAAAAAGTGAGTATAGCGCTATCTACCGGAACAGAGTCAACCTCCCAACCCAGGAGCCATCAACTATCTCTAGCTCCTGAGTATGGGGGGGGGGGGGGTGTGAGCCCCTCCCAACCCCATGCTAGAATGCTGTCACACCTGATCTTGGGCAGGTCTCATGCAGTCAACCATAGTTGCTGCAAGGTCATGAGTGCAATGTCTCTGCCATGTCCAGAAGACACTGCTTCTGTCCAGTCCTTTCCAACCTCCAACTCTTAAGAGTATTTCTGCCCCCTCTTCTGTGATGTTCCCTGAGCCCTGGAATGGGGGGGCATGATTTAGATGTTCCATTTTGGCTGAGCATACCATAGACAATTATCGTCTGCACTCTGATCAGTTGTGAGTCTCTGTGTTAATCACCATCCAGGGCACACAAAACAATGTCTGATGAGGACTGAGAGCTGCACTAATCTATGTACATAAAGATAACAAATTCAGAGGGCAGTTTGATACTATGTCTATTTAGCAAAATAATAATTGTAGGTTTACCCCTGGAACTCATAAGCAACCATGGGTTCTTGGCCATATTTATAGTACCAAGCATGTGTTTTCTTCTGTGAAGCAGACCTTAAATCCAATCGGGAAGCAGTTGGTCACCCCCATAACATCCATGCACTATTATACAGACAGACAGTCTTGCCAGGCAAATCAAGCTTCAGAGAGATAAATAGACAAGACAGACAAACTTACTGATAAATAATTATAGATCTATATATAGACACACATATATGCATACACACATACATACACATATATATGTAAATATAATCATGTAAAAGTATTTAATTGGAGTTACTCTACACAGGAGATAATGCTCCTCCAGAAACCATAGGTTATCAAGGAAAAAGCCCAGTGCCAGGTGTGGGATACTTCCCTTCATGTTGTTGGTCAAGGATGCCCAGAGCCCCCCCAAAAACAATACAGGCTATTGTCATTGCTCTTGGTTGTCCACAAGAACTTGATGGTAAGACCATACTGCTAAAGACACCACACACTTTGGTCACAGGACATGGAAAAATCAAGTTGGTATTGACTGGGGAAGCTTCTTCCCTGCTGGCTTGCTTGCAGCGCTGGAAGGAAGGTGCTATGCAGGCTACTGGAGTATTTCTGTCCCCTCTTCTGTGATGTTCCCTGAGCCTTGGAAGGAAGGAGGGGGGTGATATAAATGTCCCATTTTGGCTGAGCACACCATAGACAATTATTGGGGAAGAAAAGTCATCAACTGTCTTACCCAACTGAGGCCTATTTTTTTCAACCCATATTGTTCTAATTTCTAATCAGAGATCCCAATCCAATTTGAACAAAACAAAAGAGGCCTTGCTCTTTCCAAAATTAAGTGGCTCTAAGGGTTGGGAAACTCCTGACATTAGAAAAATAAGTGGTGAGCATTTTAGACTCTGCAAGCTTCATGTTCTGTCACAACTACTCAACCACACTGTTTTACTACAAAGCAGCCAAAGGTGATTATATGTAAATGGTTTTACCAGGTTCCAATAAAACTTTAGCTACAGCAGGCATGGTGGTGCACACCTTAATCCCAGCATTCCGGAGGCAGAGGGAGGTGGATCTCTGTGAGTTCGAAGCCAGCCTGGTCTACACAGTGAGTTCCAGGTCACTACAAAAGCAGGCCGTAGCTTGCCAACCCCTGTTCTAGGTATAAACACTGGTAAATTCTTTTTTGGTACAGACCTTGGCACCAAACAGATGTACACCTCAGCACCTCAAGATGCAGGGGACAAAGATGGCATGTGATATATTCCTGCATGCTGTGGAGTCAGGGGCACAGGCACATTAGCTCTGAAAGCTGAAAGTAACTTTCCAAACAATAAAGAGGCTTTTTATTGATGTACAACAACAGAAACGGTTCTAAGATTCATTACCTGAGATTCATTATCTCCCCAAATTGATCTATTTAAAACAAGAAAATCTAATTTCCATTTCTTCACTCAAGCATTTGAATCCTATGATCTGAGTCCTATAGATGTCCGTAACAAAGGTCAACATGTCTTTCCATCCAGTCTCCCTTCAAACTCAATTCAGTTCAACGAAAATACATTGAGGCAGACACTGCGCAAGACCTACACAGTAAAGAAGAATAACATGTGTCCTTTTAAGTGGGTGCAGTGGTGCGTGTTTTTAATCCCAGCACTTGAAAGCTGGAGATGGAAAGATCCAAAGTTCAAGGTTGTCCTCAACTACATAGGGAATTTTAAGTTCAGCATGGGCCACAAAACCCATCTCAAAAAACAAAACAAAACCAAAACAAACAACAACAAAAAGACAACAACATGGAAAATGTGCCCTTTCTTTAATATACAGAAGGGAGAAAAAAGTATCATGGAAATTGAGGCACGGTAGCAGGGTACTTACTGGACCTACAGACCTTGGAAAAACTGCCATAGAATACTCAATTGAGAACCTTCCAAATGAGCCAAATGAGCTGGCAAGAAAGATGCAAAGGGCAAGGTGGGGGGAGGAACCAAGAGAAAGAAAGCACATGAACACAAAGGCAGGCTGCTTAAGGGGACAGTGCCAGCCCGAGTCAACACAGCGACCCCCAGCTGGCAGCCGCCCAAGCCATGCCCTATTACCAAAACATCAAGTTAAGGACAAAGAGGCACAGGAAGGCCAGACATGATGACTAGGAGGCCCTGACCACCATCATGCAGAGCATGAACTTCATCCCACAGACCAAGAACAGAAGGAGTTTAAGTAGAGGCTTGATGGCCTGTGTCATGGCTGAAGCATTGAAAGCAGTGGGAGCCAGGAGAAAAGACTCAAAAATCAGCTAAAGATGCCAGGAAATGAATGTGGATTAAATAAGGGTCAAATTCAAAAGAAAAGACACAAACAGCAAGTCCAGACTCTACAGCCAATTAAGCCCACCCGGCTCCTTTCCTCATGGCCTGGGATGCAACGGCTGCAAATAGCAGCCTCCTTGCAGTGCACGCAGTACGTTCCATGTACGGGCTCCCTCAGGAACCTGGAAGTCAGCTTTCTGGTCGCTATCCATGTCTCTCATCTCAATGCTGTCCCCAATCTAGGTTCCAGACAGGTGTGCCTTTGGGAAGCCCCAGGACACAGGGGCTAGGGCTCACATCGGCCAAGTCATCATGTCTACCCACAGAAAGCTGCAGAATAAAGAACATGTGATTGAGGCCCTGCATAGAGCCAAGTTCAAGTTCCCTGGGCACCAGAAAATCCATACCTTAAAGTGGGGTTTCACCAAGTTTAATGCAGATAAACTTGAAGACATGGCAACTGAGAAGTGGCTAATCCCTGATGGTTGTGGGTCAATACATCCCCAATCATGGTCCCCTGGACAAGAGGTGGGCCCTGCACTCCTGAGAGCTTCTACTGTGCTAAATCCTACACCCCACCCAATCACAGTCAGTAATAAATCTCATATCCATATCCAGTCTGAAAAAACAAGGTCCCAGATTTGATTTGGATGGTGGGTCTGTGGGGGTCACATTAAGTGAGACTAGGTGGAGAGCAAAGGTAAGTTCAGAATGGGAACTGGTGAGAGAGAAAAGCTGTAGAGCATACAGGAAACTACATTCGATCCAGAAGTGAACACGCACAGCTAGCAAACAAGCAAAATGCTACAGCGGGAACTACACAAGTCACTGGCATACAAGTAAGGGCTGGCACCAAAACAGCTCACTCAGAGAAAGAGCCAGAAGGACCAAGGCCAGGAACAGAGCCCCGAGGAGCAGGGCAAGGGCAAGCAAGGAAAGAACTAGGCAGCAACTCAAGGGGTAGGAGGGCCCGGTGGCCGCTCTGTGAGAGGATTCCCAGGGAGGGAACACAGACAGCCCATCCGAGTCTAGAGAAACACTGGCCCATTCACAAGGCTGTGGCCACATCAGGCCACAAGACACCTAACTGCAAAGGATCAGCACAACCGAGATATACCAGATGTGCAAACTGCACACCAGATTTGGAAAACTTAGCATGAAGAAGCACTGTGAAATACCGTAAATAATCTTCTGTGCTAATACACATTGTGATGTTAGTATTACAGATGTGTTAATATTGTATTTAAAACCACTCTGTTTTTCAGAGGCTTTGGGGTGTTTTGTTTTGTTTTGTCTTTTTGAGACATGGTCTCTCTGTAACCCCAGACTGAAGCTTGCTATGGAGACCAGGCTAGCTTAGATCTCACAGAGATCTGACTGCCTCTGCCTCCCAAGTGCTGAGATTAAAGGATATGTGCCACTATGCCCAGCTTATTACATCTCCATTCTGTGCCTCCACAGGGGCTGCTGTGCAGTTTCACAGTCATCTCAGGAGCAGCATCCAGGGATGAAGTGTCAGGTTCAGTGTTGCCCAGCAGGGAGGGCCAGAAGCAACACTGCAGCCTCGCTGCTCCTAAGGAGCAGGCCTGGCTAGGGTTCCTAAAGAGGCCTCCCATCCCACTCATTTCCCAAGCCTCTTCCCAAGTCTCCCAAGTATTCAAAGGACCACAAGAGTGTTGTGGGTCAGATACAGGAATAAAAGCCCTTTGGGAAACAAGTACAAAGTAGTGATCGTAAGTGGTATTTATGTCAAAAGACAACTGGTACTTACACCAAAAGCTGTTTGGTGATAGGCAAGTCAACACTTAGAGCAGAGTTTCCACAAATGCCCAAGACCCACTCTCTCAACCCTTACACTCCATCACCCTACCACATCGGCTTTGAATCCCTAGGCTTGTGGCCTCCAGCACCCCTCATCACACTGCACTTGAGACAAGAACATACTCCTATTTCCTGGATGCTGTCTCAGCAGACATCCCCTGGCACATGCTGGCTACAAAAGTGTGACATGTCCACCTCCCTTATTATACAGACTGAGAACATGCATATCTAGCAAAGGTCAGGACCACAGCATTAGTATTCTGTTACCATGGTAACAGCATGGTAGAGCCTAGCAACTGGGTGAGAACTGGGATTATACATGAAGCCACAGAGTCTATGTAAAGGTGGTGAGGAGCCCTGGCCAGGTCCATTCATCAAGAGGCCAACCCTGAACTTACACCTGACTTCAACCAAAGGAGGCAGGTGGAGAGGCTTCGGAGTACGGCTGGGCCCAGCTCTGAACAGCCTCAGCATCTCCCCCTCACCCGACCTTCCTCAGTTTCACGTCTTTTCCATTTGTTTCACTTTTTTAATATATATTTTATTATTTTTATTTTATGTGTATGCATGTATTGCCTGCATGTAGGTAAGTGCACCTGTGTTGTGCAATGCCTGCAGAGGACAGAAGAGGCCATCGGATCCCCTGGAACTGGAGTTACAGTTATTAGCTGCCATGTGGGTGCTGGGATTTGAACTCAGGTCTTCTGCAAGAACAACCAGTGTTCTTAACCACTGAGCCATCTCTCCAGCCCCTTATTTCACTTTTAATTAATGCATTCCTTAAGTAATGACTAAGTATGTATATTCATACAGTTATGAGTAATTTTCCTTAATTGATCTGAAGCAGAAATTTTTATGAAATCCTTGTAGATACAATCTTTAACATTTTTAATCATTGTGTGGTGTGTAGTGTGTATGCACATTATGGGCATGTTATGGTGCACATGCTGAGACCACAGGAGGATGTTAACTTGGGTGCCTTTCTCTACTGCTCTCCATCTTACTGCTTATGATTTTAGTTTTGTTTTCCTGAGACAGAGTCTCTTAATGAACTGGAGCTCACTAGCCCTCAAGCAAGAATCCTCCTGTCTCAACCCTCCAACAATAGAGTTACCAGCATAACCCCTAGCTTTCAGTGGTATGGGGGATTTAAGCCCAGATCCTCTTGCTTTCACAGCAAGTACTCTTATCCACTGAACCATCATTCTAGCCCCTTATTTTATAGTTTTTAGTTTCCCAATACTTTCTCCATCACAAAAGTTCTTCATTATTCTTAATTCCCAAATAAAACTCTTATCTGACATTTTTCACTTAGTTTAGCATGTGTGTATGTGCTGCTGTGCATGTGTGTGACATGTGCATGTGTACATGTACATGTTGAAGGCCTAAGGCTGACATCAGTGTCTTCCTCTAGTTCTCCACCTTTATTTTTGTTTTTTAATTTTATGTGTATGTATATATTACCTGCATGCATGTAAGTGCACCTGTGCCATGCAATCCCCATGGAGGTCAGAAGTGGGCATCCAATTTCCTTGAGCTGGAGTTATGGATGGTTGTCAGCTGCCATATGGGTGCTGAGTTTTGAACCCAGGTCCTCTGCAAGAGCAGCTAGTGCTCTTAACCGCTGAACCATCTCTCCAGCCCCACATCATATAATTTTTAAAATACTTTCTTTTCTACTGAGCCATAAGCAGGACCCTGAAGGCAAGAAGACAGTATGCATCAACCTTACTAAGCAACTGAGGACAAAGAAAGCTTAATTAGAAGGTCGGTGTGGTGACGCACACCTTTAGTCCCAGCACTCAGGAGGCAGAAGCAGGGGAATCTCTGAGTTCCAGGCTAGCCTGGTCTACACAGCGAGTTAGAGAGTTCCAGGCCAGCTGGGGCTACAGAGAGACCCTGTCCTCCCCCAAAAAACAACAAAAAGACTCCCCCCCAAAAGCTTAATTATAGATATTTTTGTATTATTTTTTGTAGAAAGGAAATCAAACTCCCCAGGGAGAAGAAAAACACCAAAGAAATAATTCATTTCCAAAATATGTCTTTACCAGTAGGCCACCATTGTTCAAATGTCTTCTTTATATCAAATAGCCTATGTCCATATTGATATAAGGACTAGAAAAAAAGTACAGTGGGATTACAGGTGATTGCTTTTCTGCTTATCTACATTTTCTGAATTCTTTTCAATTATCAAGTTTTATGGACCACAGATTTTATGTGGGGGAGAAAATAAAATGAAAGGGCTAAATTAAAACACATGTTTAAATGCAAGACTAATACTAGTTTTGACAAAAACAATGTCTATTTCTAAGTTAGTGATAATCTACAAAAAACAGATCAGACAGCTTAGGAGAGGCTTAAAATTACGTATAAATTGCTTCTTTTGATAAGAGCGTGAATGCCCAGAAGCGCACTTGCAAGTGAAGATATGACGTCCACTGAAACTCACATGAACCTAATAGCAAGCTCCCAACATCTAAAACTCACTGAAGAACGAAACGAAATGAATAAAAGAGGAAGAAAAGGGCACCTGACTCCTTGTACTTTCCAATTCAGGAGGTCACAATGAAAAATGACCCCAATCTGTCAAGAAAATAGGAACTGTCTACTTTTGAGGTTCGGCATAAATATTTATGGAACTTCAAGCTTCATAACCCTGCGTGCTCTTATATTATGTTTTTGTTTCTTAAAAATACAGAAGCAGACGAAAAACTTTGAAAAGGTTCTCAGAGGAAAACCACCATAGTCACTGCAGAGTACAAAGGCCCCAGCATGGCGTCTCATTTCTGTGGTGTGGCAATTCGGGCCCAAGACCAGCTACAAAGAAATGCCTCTGCCTCGGCTCCTTCCTCACTCTCCTCCAGCACCTTCCGTTTGCTTTTCTAGTGGCACTGATCTTCCTTAGATTTGAATGTGAGGCCTGCACAAGAACAAAAGGCTGTTGCAGCTCTACGGCCCTGTGAGAGGCACCAAGGGCCATGCCATCTGCAGGTCTCCTGGCAGGTCCACTGTGGCTCACTCTCTCCTCACACAGGGGATGAAGAGATGACATTTTCATTAAAACCGAGAATGTCTTATATGTTAAAATTCTATCAAAGGATGAGAAGACTGTGTTTTTCCATAAAGAAAATATGTGAGGCCGGGAAGAATGCTACATGTCTGCAATCCCAGTACTCAGAAGGTAGAGGAAGGGGATCAGGGGTTCAAAGCCAGCCTTGGCTACATAACCCTTGTCTGAATAAAAGAGACAGGGAAGGGAGGAAAATACATGTACCTCTATAGTTTGTGAACACTAAAACAGAATGCTGGGCTCATTAGAATTAATACCAACAACATGACAGTTACATATTTGATTAAATATTAATGCTGCTACC